CATGTTGGTCATGCTGATTGTGATGGCCATGCCGATCATTGTTCTGATTGTGAGGAAACGGAGGATGACGATGATGATGATGAAGATGATCACGTTTATGATGATGATGATGATGCTGACGATGGTAATTATGATGATGACGACGATGATGACGACGAATATTGTAATGATGCTGATGATGCTGATGATGTTGGTGATCATACACATGATGATGATGCTGCTGATGATGATGAAACTGATGCTGATGATGATAATGATGATGATGGTGATGATGATGATGAGGATGATGATGATGCTGATGTTGATGCTGATGCTGATGATGATGATGCGGAGGAGGAGGAGGAGGAGGCGGAGGAACAGGAGGAGGAGGAGGAGGAGGAGGAGGAGGAGGAGGGTGAGAGGGGCAGAAGGAGGAGGAGAGGGGGAAGGGAATGTGTCGATCGCGCTGGTAGGAAGAACATTGCGACGAGCATGACGATCTGGAGAAGGAGGAGGAGGTGGAGGAGTCGGAGGAGGACAGATGGAGGAGGAGGAGGAGGAGGAGTGCAAAAGCGAGGATGATGATGATGATGATGATGATGATGATGATGATGATGATGATGATGATGATGATGATGATGATGATGATGATGATGATGATGATGATGCTGATGCTGATGCTGATGCTGATGCTGATGCTGATGCTGATGCTGATGCTGATGATGATGCTGATGCTGATGCTGATGCTGATGCTGCTGCTGCTGATGATGATGATGATGATGATGATGATGATGATGAGGAGGAGGAGGAGGAGGAGGAGGAGAAGGATTTGGGGCGATGGACGAATGGAGGAGGAAGGATCATGTAGAGTTGTGGGCGGGGAGGGCGGCAGGGGAGGGAGACGGGGAGGAAGGGAGGGGATGGAGAAGGGGAGGTATAAAGATGAGGAGGGAGAATAGGTGGAGGAGGCTTGAAGGATAGGAGGAAGAGGTGGGAAGGATGACTTCCTTCATCTCCTTCCGCTCAGCGAAACTCCCGGATAGGTTCCCGGGGCGTTGACGCAGGCTAGATTTGAACGTTATCACTTGGCTCAGGTGCCAGTTGTGGCCCAGGCTTCTCACGAGGACGATCTGACTCAGTGCCCTCAGATCAGCCGATCGCAAACATGGATTAAGGGGGTGTGGATTAGCGATGGGTCCCGTGTTCCATGGGAAATCGGGGATTTCAGCCGCCGAACGAGGCGGTACTGGCCGCATTCTGGGGAGGGCACCTCCCCCGATCCATGTTTGCGCGCCCCCGATCAGAGAGTGGGAGGGGGAGAGGGGGATGGAGAGGGAGAGAGGGGGAGGGAGAGAGGGGGAGGGGGAGAGGGGGAGGGGGCAAGCTAGGTGCGCTCGCGTCATATCTGACATCCTACCCCTCCCTCCCATCTCTTACCATGGCGCAGATCCCCTCTCTACTCGCACAGTCGGATGTCGAGCAGGGCATGATCCCGAAAGTGTACGCGATGCATTGTAGAGCTCGGCATGGCATGGCGTAGAAGAGCACCGCAAAGCGTAGCATCAACCTAGCATTGCATTGCACGCCGTGGCATGGCACGGGAAATGACGCCAGCGTTGCAGCGGGAGCACGAGTCGAACCGAGCGGAAGCGCGGAAATGAGGCCAGCGCTGCAGCGGGAGGACGATTCGGAACGAGCGGAAGCACGGAAATGAGGCCAGCGCTGCAGCGGGAGCACGATTCGGAACGAGCGGGGCCCGAAAATGAGGCCAGCGCCTCAGCGAGAGCAGCATTTTGAACACAAATGCAAGTGAAAACCCAACTCCGGGGAAACCTGTGTGTAAAACACAGTACGCGGGGGGTGTCGGACATTTTCAAACCGTCATCAGGGGAAGAGGGAGAGTAGTATTCATATTGAGTAATTGTAGAGGGGGAGAGGGGAGAGGAGAGGAGGAGAGGAGGAGGGGGGGAGGGGGAGAGGGGAAGAGGGAGAGGGGGAGGGGGGGGAGAGGGGGAGGGGGGGGCGGGGGAGGGAGAGGGGGATCCATGGATATTCGATCCGATCCTCCCTCGCTTTCCTCTTCGCTCGCTCCTCTCAGCCCAGCGTCGCGAGTCTCACCAGCGCTGCTCGGCATGTGACCGTGCCAGCCGCGGCACAGCAGGCGGTCCTTTTCGACGGGCCTGGCCTTCCTGCCCCCGGTGCCCTCCTTCGGGCGCCGCCCTCTCCTCGGGGGCCCCCAGACGGGGCGGTGACCACACCGTGCGGTGAGTCGGTGACGACACATCTCTTCCTCCTCCTCCTCCTCCTCCTCCTCCTCCGCCTCCTCCTTTGGGACTCGGGTCGCCATCCGAGGACGTCTCGGGCGACTAGGGCATCCGAGGTCCCAAGGCCGTGCGTTGACGCACCGTGCGGTGAGGTCCTGGGCGATTTCGAGGTCACCGCACGGCATGTCGCCGCACCGTCTCGGGACTCCAAACTCTCGCGCGGATGGCGCCGAGCTGAAGCGGCGTCCATGGCGGGGGAAAATGCACTGACGCGGCTGAGTGTGTTGCAGGCGGGTTAGCCCGACCGCTCGTTGGACTGCAGATGGGGAACATGTACCGACATCGCCACACGCCAGTCGTTGAAAGCAGGTATTTCTTGGATTCCCAGGTTCCAATCTGCTTTGGCCGCCTTCTTGCTTCAATCATCGAGTGCATTCCCCTCTTCCCTGCTCTGCAGGGGGCGGGCCGAGACCCAATCCACTTCCGTCGCCTTCCTACTTCAGTTTTTTACCTACTTCCGACCGACGGATACTGACGCGGTTGGGTGTGATGCAGGCGTGTTAGCCCGACCGCTTGCTGGACTTCAGAGGAGGAACATGTACCGATACCGCTCCTCGCTGGTCGTTGAAAGTAGGTATGGTTGGGTGCCCCGATCTAATGTTTTTGGCACTTTCCTACTTCAAGAATCGATATGCTTGTACTGTGGTTTCATTATTAGTATTATTCTCGGGGTGGGCCTGAACCCAATCTGCTTTTTCCGCCTTCCTACTTCATGTTGTTACCATGTCCTCGCCGCAGCGGCTGGTTTCTCTTTGAAATTCTTGGTCAGAACGCACCCTGGGAGGCGGCCTGGAGAGAAGCGGTATCAGTACTTTTCGTCTTTCCCATGACCCAATTCGCCGCAGACCAAAAAAGTGAATTGAAGGCGAGTCGGTTGCCACTTCACCTCCGGGGAGAACAGGCCTCAGAGCGAGTCCGAGGCTTGGACCTATACATGCCCACCGCCTGGGGTAACAATCCTCATGAAGCTGGGGAGGCGGCGGACATGGATATATTCGGGCCGACTGGGCTCCCAAATCACCAAATTATCCATATCTACCACCTCCTTGCCTTGTCCCCCGGAAGATCGGATGCCCAATTTGTGGATATGTATAGTTCTTGGCCTCGTAGCGCTGGGCAGCATGACGCGCATCGTGATACGGCCCGATGCTTGCATGGCGCTGTTGTGCATCCTGGGCCACCCGATCAGGCTCGAGTTCGATGTCGTACCGATGCGGCCCGATCCGACCGACGCTCCGATCCGATCCGAGTCCCCGATCCGATGTGGACCGATCTTGGGGTGAGAAAATCGGGACAGAGCCATCGTGCTACCATTAGGTCGGGCACGTCCCCTTACAGGCGGATTTTGGACGAAAAACTTGAAACAGTCAAAACGTGCCCCAAAATGGTCAATCAAACAATCGAAACATCTTCCCCCGACTATTGTTTAAAACTACTACCCTCTGGATTAAAAAGTTGTGACCGGCACTATGCGAGAGAGCGATCCCCGCGGGTTTCGTCGGTCGACTGGCCCTCGAGCCTCCACCATCGATCAACCCCGAGATGACTCCAAGGCAGGCCCGTGAACCGAATGACGGAACGGCTCCGCAGGGCGTGGAGCTCTGCAGCACATAGTTGTGGAAATCATCGCACACGAAATCTTTGTTTTCTGGCGGCATGGAAGGCAACCTGCAAGTGCTGTTTGAGGACGTCTTAAGCGAAACGACCACTCTCAGGCGGCATGAACATTGATCTGAAACTTTTTGTCAGGAAGTCCTAGGCGAAGTCGCCACTTTCAGACGGCATGGGAGAATTTCAGATCGCCCTGGAAGGCGATCTGAACATTTGTTTGAAGAAGTCCTAGGCGGAATGCCACTTTCAGACGCCGGCCCCATTTGGCGTTTATAATATCAAAGGCGGTGAGGTATGCGTCTGAAACTCCCAATTCGGCATCAAATCCAACATTGTCCTGGGCCCCATGGCCTAACGGGTGGCCAACAGCGTCTCTCTCTCTCTCGAACCCCGCCGTCCCAACTTTTTAATCCAGCGGGTTGTATGTTTGAGTATTCCTCCTGTAGAGGGACAGGCACGACTTGGTGCTACCAGAAGAGGGCGCATCATAGGGAAAGGGCAAGGCACGAAGGGGGCTCTTCTGGCCACGCCGGGCTCCGGCCGCGGACGGGCCCCGCGGCACAAGTCCGAGGTGTCGGGCCGAGGGCCCGAGCCCCTCCCGAGCCCACAAACGTGCTGCTTCCAGCGGCCTCGCCGGGAGGAGGGAGCAGAATTCGGTCGGGCCGGTCCCTCCACGGGAGGAATGCTCAAGCATGGTTGCAACAAATAGTCCAGGGACGACGTTCCGAGCAGCTGCTGATCGCTTTTGCGCAGTGTCCGACTGTTTCGAAGTGTTCCTCCGAAAGTTGCCTGTAGGGGGACGTGCCCGACCTTCTGTTTTCAGAGCCCCGAATCATCAGGGGTAACTCGGGTCAGGGATAACTCGGGTTCGTTTTTCGGGAACCCAAACCCGAGTTACCCCGGACCCGAGTTACCCCGGATATTTCGGGCGTCCAGAGCCCCGAATCATCAGGGATAACTCGGGTCAGGGATAACTCGGGTTCGTTTTTCGGGAACCCAACCCCGAGTTACCCCGGACCCGAGTTACCCCGGATAACTCGGGCGTCCAATGTTTGTGCGGCAGCCGCTCTGGCCTGCTTTGCCCAGGCTCCGTCGGCTGCCAGCCAGCTCCCGCGCGCCCCGCCCCCTCTCTGCCGCCCGCGTGGTCGCTGCTGTTGGCCACTCCGGGGATGCCTACGCAAGTCCTGCTCGGGCTTGGCTGCTCGTGCGTAGGCTTCTAAGCGCACTGCCGATTTCTGCAGAACGTGGGGACATGCAATCGAATGCCGTATAAGCGGGGGGGGGAGACAGAGAGGGAGAGAGAGAGAGAGAGAGAGAGAGAGAGAAAGAGAGACACACAAAAACAACAGAAAAGCACGGAGAGGGAGAGAGAGAAAGAGAGAGGGAGACGGGACAGACGGGAGACGCCAGAGAGAGGGACAGAGAGAAAGGGAGAGAGAGTTAGACAGTGATAGGACTGCGATGAACCAGACTTCGCTGACGACGCGCTTCAGCTCAGCCAAGGACGACACCGACCCAAAGGGGTGCAGGAGACGGAGCAACATGGGTGCACGTTTGATGTAAGGGTGGGAAAGGTGGTTTGGCAATTGGCAGCGCAGGCGGCATGGCAATAGATAGAGTAAACTCAGACTGATGATACAAATTGGTTCAGTCTCGCGCTTCTGAGGTGGGAAAGTGCATACGCCCATACCTGTAGGATCACCTTCGGCTGATAAACATGCTGTTTTTGGGAATGGGTGCAGCTTTCGCTTTACGACTGGCGTCGGGCCGGATTTGTGGCCTACAGTATGTATAAATCCAACGATAGCGGGAGTTATTAATCGATCTCCCCATCGAGTGGTCTCATTATCTACCAATCGATGCCTCTACCAGCATAGAGTTATGGGTATCTAAGTCTTCTGTCGACATCTGTCTGACTATCAATGTACCTTCCAACATAACTATCTAGCTGCCGGTCTCACCAGATATTTATTTATCTACAGGCGGGACAACCACGGGCCAACCACGGACCACAGTGGGACGACCACGGGCATCCAAGTGACAACCACGGGACAACGGCGGGACAGCTACGGGAGAAGCACGGGACGACCACGGGACAAGTTCGGAACAACCGCGGGACAGCCGCGGGAGTACCGCAGGACAACCACATTGGACAACCACGCGGCATTTTTGGGACAGTATCGGCATAACCACGAGACAAGCACGGGACATCGATCTAAGTATCTTTCGGTTGCATTCTCAGTCGATCAGTCAATCTCATTGACAACGGGTCTCGAGATTAATCTATCGATCTCAATGCCAATATATTTATCGGTTTCACCCACTTGTTCTGTTGTCATACGGCAACCATGCGACAAACGTGGGATCAATTCGGGACAACCACCGTTCAACCTTGAGCCAACCACGGGACAATCGCGGATCCACCACGGGTCAACAGCGGGATAACCACGTGACAACAACGGGATAACCATGCGACAAACAAGGGACAACCAGGAGCAGCCAAGGGACAGTCACAGGATAACCAAGGGACAACCACGGGATAACCACGGGACAATCAAGGGACAACCAAGGGACAGCTACGGGACAGCCACGGGACAGCCACGGGACAGCGGCGGGACAACCACGGGACAACCACAGGACAACCACGGACCAACCACGGGACAGCGGCGGGACAACCTCGCTCTGGCGTGGGGTTCCGATTCGTTTTGGCGTGGTTTGGGTTTGGCTAGTACAGGAGCTCGCGCAGTTAGCCCCCCCCCCGCACGCACGATACGGACCTAAGCCGAAATCGATGTCCTTGTTTTGGGCGACTCCGCTCTATTTCGGTCTCGCCCCAAACCTCCAATATGTGGGGAAAGGCATGGCCCATGGGTGTGAGTCCAGTGGGGACGCGCACCAAGAAATAGTATGGTTTTCGTTCTCAGCGATGCGCCGTGACGTCCCACGATCGTCACGAAATTGCTTCACCCAGGATACCCTGTGTTTCTCCCCCAATCGCACCTCCTTCATTTCCTCATCACGCCCTGAGAAGAAATTACTCACGCCAGGGTATCCTGGGGTACCCTGGGTTTCTCCGATTTTAGCCCTTGGCCTAGACGCGTCCCCATTGTAACCCTTGTTATATCTGGAGGCGGGCGTCTTTGTGAATTGCGCATCCACCATCACGTGTCTCGAGGTTTGCATTCGTCTCGCGCGCACTGTGCGCGGAGCTGAGTGTGTGCAGCTTGTTGCCAGGCTGTGGGAAGGAGAACGTGAGCCGTGGAGCCGTGGTGTAGTATCCCTTGGTGGGGGAGCTTCGCAGGTGCGATTCAGCAAATGAATGAGGTTGTCGAGAGCAGGCATGCCACATTCAACATCGACCAGCTATGACTTTGCTCCATGTTCGCGCACGAGTGCCCAAAGTAAACGCACGCGAGTAACATGTGCAGTTCACTGTAGTTCCATTACGAGTACATGAATCATGCAGTGGAGTCGGAGGGGTAGCGAGGAAAGGTCGCAGGCGATGTCTCGCCCTCCCCCATGCCCGAGCTACCCTATAGAATGCTGGCCGTTCGGAAAAGATATACCGTCCCAGGGAGCTATTTGATCGCACTCTTACCGAGGATGGGTCCCCCCTGCAGGAACCAGTTCGATCCGATTCGATATCGACTTCGGCCGGCCCGATCCGAGTCCGGTATCCCGACGATCCGATGCGGCCCGATGTTTACATGCCGAGGTTGTCAATTTTGGCGCGTCCGATTCGATTCGATTCCGAGCCAATGGCAATGCAGCCCGATGCGATACACATCCCGATCCGATCCGATTTCCCGATTCCAGATTGATTGATCCTGCCCCGTCGTAAACACGCCCGTGTCTGATCCCAGCAAGTCGCAAGCCCTCCTCGGCCATTCTGGTCGTGGATCGGGGTCTCGGGTGGGAGCAAGAGTACCAAGGACCCGCCGCCGATGGGAGCCCGTCAACGTGTTCCCTCGGCTTTGCTGGCAATTCTGGCGTTTCTCATGTGGTGACGTGCTGATTGGCTGCGCACTGCGCGTGTCGTTGACGTGGTTTCCCCGAACAGGTGGGCTGCCGGATCTGGAGCTGGCAGGCGACGCTGCCTCCCGTGGCTTCCCCGTTGCCTCCCGCGGCTTCCCGTTGCCTCTCGTGGCCTCCCGTGGCCTCGCGTGGCCTCCCATTGTTTCCCGCTGCCTCCCGCCTCCCGTGGCATTCGGTGGCCCCGCCTCCCGTTGCGTTCGGTGGCCTTCCGTTGGCTCCCGTGGTCCCCCGCGGCCTCCCGCTGCCGTCATGATCTTTTCATCCTTATCCTCTTTTCCGTATCCTCAGGTGTTGTATCCCTATCCCTTGTTACCCCTATCTTTGCTCCTGGCCATATACCCCATCCTTTGCCCGCATCGCTATCCCTATCCCGATTCCCCATCCTGGCCCCCCGTCGTGGCCCCGCACGTTGACCCCCTCATCGTGGCCCCAATCGCAACTCCGCAAAGCTTCTTAGGGTCCTCATTCAGAAGACGATCCTGGGAGCCTCTTATTGTCAGTTGGACTGGCTTTCCTGCGCCTCCAGTGGTCCACAGTCGTTTTGCTCGCTCCACTGGAGGCCCCTGGGGGCTACGTGAGGCCACTGGAGGCCACTGGAGGCCGCGGCTGGGCCACTGGAGGAGGCACGGGAGGTGGCTCTAGGCTTGCGAGGGGTCGCTGGGGTCCATTGGTGGCCATTGGAGGAGCCACTGCGGCCACTCAGGCGATTACGAAAGGCTCCCAGGAGCGTCCTCCGAATCCTCAGACCTACCCCCCACCGCTCCCCCTGTAAATAGGGTTCGAACCTCTTGTCCGTGAGAAGAGCTCGCTGTGCCTCTCGCAAAGTCAAAGGCAGCACGCCCTCGGGGCCCAATGTGAGAGAGGGTGTGTATATGTGTGTATTTGTTTCGATGATGATGAGGAGGATGTTGATGATGATGATGATGATGATGATGATGCTGATGATGATGACGATGATGATGACAATGACGATGACGATGACCATGTTGATGTTGATGATGATTGCTGATGCTTATGCTGATGATGATGATGCTGATGTTGATGATGCTGATGCTGATGATGACGATGATGATGCCACTGCTGAAGCTGATCATGGTGATGATGCTGATGGTGATGATGGTGGTGGTGATGATGCTGTTGTTGCTGCTTATGATGATGATGACGGTGATGCTGCTGATGGTAAGGATTATGTTGGTGCTGATGATGGCTGGCGGTAAATCATGCTGCTGTTGCTGCTGATGATGATGCTGATGCTGACGATGATGCTGATGAGGATGATGATGATGCTGATGATGATGATGCTGATAATGGTGATGACGATAATGATGCTGATGCTGATGTTGGTGGTGATGCTGGTGATGGTGATGGTGATGGTGATGATGATAATGATGATGATGATGCTGACGATGATGATGATGATGATGATGATGATGATGATGATGATGTTGCTGATGATGTTGCTGATGATGTTGCTGATGATGGTGATGCTGATGATGATGATGATGATGATGATGTTGCTGTTGCTGATGCTGATGATGCTGCTGCTGACGATGACGATGACGATGCCGATGATGATGATGATGATGATGATGCTGCTGCTGCTGCTGATGCTGCTGCTGATGATGATGATGATGATGATGCTGATGATGATGATGATGCTGATGATGATGATGATGATGATGATGATGATGATGATGATGATGATGATGATGATGATGATGATGGTGGTGGTGGTGGTGGTGGTGGTGGTGGTGGTGGTGGTGATGATGATGGTGGTGGTGGTGATGATGATGCTGATGATGAGGATGAGGATGAGGAGGAGAAGGCGAAGGAGGAGGAGCAGAGGGTGGGGGAGGAGGAGGATTGGGAGGGTCAGGAGAGTCGAGGAGTGGGAGGTCGGAGTCGGTCGGAGTAGCACCGAGGCTGGTCCGAGGCCGCCCAGTGCTGCGCTGCCGCTGCCGCGAGTCGGTCGCGCGGCGCGGCAGACGACGGGCACTCCGCCGACGGCCTGGGCGGCCACGATGACCTGTCGTGGCAGGCGCTGGCCGCTTGGGGGGGGGGGAAGGAGGAGGAGGGGAGGAGGAGGAGGAGGAGGAGGAGGAGGAGGAGGAGGAGGAGGAGGAGGAGGAGGAGGAGGAGGAGGAGGAGGGGAGGAGGAGGAGGAGGAGGAGGAGGTAGGAGGAAGAGGAGGAGGAGGAGGAGGAGGAGGAGGAGGAGGAGGAGGAGGAGGAGGAGGAGGGAGGATTGGCGCGAAGGGAGGAGGGGCGCGAAGGGAGGAGGAGGAGGAGGTTGTTTTTGTAAAGTCTGGGCGATAACGGCCGTTAGACCCTTTCCCTCCCCCACCCCTGGATCACGTCGCTTTATTTTGCCGACATTTGCAAATATTTCCCAAGGATTACGACATGATGTCTCAAAGGGTTCCTAGGAGTTCGTCGTCAGTCTCGTCTGGAGAGGGGAAAGGATGATGATGATTATGATGATGATGAGGAGGAGGAGGACGAGGAGGAGGAGGACGAGGAGGAGGAGAAGGAGGAGGTGCAGGAGGAGTGTGATGATGAGGAGGAGGAGGAGGGAGGAGGGAGGAGGAGAAATTGGGAGGGGGGAGAGAAAGGAGAAGAAGGGAGAAGGACGAGAAGGAGGAGGAGGAGGAGGAGGAGGAGGAGAAAGGAGGAGAAAAAACGAGGGGGAGGAGAAGGATGAGGAGGAGGAAGAGGAGGAGGAGGAGGAGGAGTATGCCTAGTTTGTGTATTTTCGTCGTCGGCTTCGGGGCAGTCTGATGCGGCCCCCGGAAGCCCCTGGGGGTACAGGGGCCCACGGAGGTTGGTGGCGATGAGTCTCCGGTGGATGAGTCGCCCCCCGTTCGCCTCGCAAGCACGCGGCGCGTGCGCCGTCTCGTGGTCAACGTGGTGCTCTCTGGGGCGCGCTGTTGTGCTTGCAGGCCCTGGCGGTGCGCACAGTGGCGCGTCGGTGCTCACGGAGGCCATCCGCCGTGTTGTGACTGGGGGGGGACAGGCTCTCACCAGCCCGATCATGCCAGGTATCGCGAATAAGAAAAAGACAGACTCGAGGAGGAGAAGGAGGAGGAAGCGGAGGAGGAGGAAAAGGAAGGAGGAGGAGGAGGAGGAGGAGGAGGAGGAGGAGGAGGAGGAGGGGGAGGAGCTATCGTCGCTTTGCTGCTGGTTTCACATCGTGGGATCACGCAGCCGAATCAGGACATCAGGAGGAAGGAGGGGCGTGGAGGGAGGAGTACGAGGAGGAGGAGGAGGAGGCGCAGGCGGCGGAGGGCCAGGAGGAGGAGGAGGAGGAGGAGGAGTCTGAGGAGGAGGAGGAGGAGGAGCAGGAGGAGGAGGAGCAGGAGGAGGAGGAGGGGGAGGGGTGGGGGGTGGGGGTTGGGGCCTGGGCGGGGGGAGGAGGAGGAGGGGGCGGGGCACGGGCAGGGGGAGGGGGGAGGGAGGAGGCCTGGCCTTGGAGTCAGTGACGACAGCACCAACACAAACATTGAGATCGGTAGGTTTTTATCAAGTAGCTCTGGCATGTGCAGCACTGCCAGGGTCCGGCATCTTCTTGTGCATCCCGTCGCGCTCGGAGGAAATTGCGGTATGTTTGGTATGGTCTTGCTCCACTCGCTGCCCTACGGTCGAAAGCACATCGTGGTGCGCTGTCAGACACGTTTCGTCAATCGCACTGTGGTGCTCTCAGATACTCTGCGGCCTTAGCAGGGCATAGCTCGTGGTAGCGGACAGGACGGTCATGGAGGCATGGGAAACGGCAGTCGGAGGAGGTCCAGTCGAGACAATGGCGACCTTCCTGGCGTTGATTCCCCAATCAGTGCTTGCACTGAAGGGGTCCTAGCGGATATTGATTTGGCGAAAGTTTCCCGCTGATTTTGGTAGCCGGCTGGGTTCCCGGGTTCCAGGTTCCGGGGTTCCCAGGTTTTTGGTTATTGGTTCCGGGCTGGTTTCGGTGGGTTCCGGGCTCTCGGTCGATCTCTTTAGCGATCTCTTTGACTATCGATCCCACGATTCATCAAACCATCCATTGATTAGGTTTTTTGTTAAGTGTAACTTTTCCCCAATCAGTGCTTGCACTGAAGGGGTCCTCGCGGAAGTTGAAGGAGTTGGCGAAAGTTTCCCGCCGATTTTGGTCGCACGCTCGGTTCCCGGGTTCCCAGTTTCAGGTTCTCGAGTTCCCGGTTCCAAGTTCCGGGCCGATTCCGGAGGGCGGCGAGGTTCCCGGGTTCCCGGGTTCTTGGTCGATCATTTTATCGATTTGTCTTACCATAGATTTCATTACCCCTTTCTCTATCGATCTCACAATCGATCTCATTATCGATCTCACAAGCTATCTCACTAGAGATCGAATGAGCGATCTCGCGATCGATCTCAATTTCACTCTCGGTCTCACGATCAACCTTACAATCGTCCTCACTATCGATTCCACTATCGATCTCATCATGGACCTCACAACCGATCTCAAGATCCATAGTATCAATTTTCAAATAGTCCACCGATTGGGGTTTTCTCAGGTGCGATGTTTGGCCTCCTGGAGGCTTCTCGTCGCCACAGCTGGACCTGCTTCGAAAACGGGTCGGGATGGACTCCAGGGGCCCATGGGTTCGGGGACCGCTCTTCCGCGGACGTCGGCCCGGCGGAAAGCTGCTCGTGGGCGCTGCTCCGGGGGGCGAAGCATCGACCCCCGGCGTGCGGTTGGGCTATCGGGGGCTCCGATCGGCGAGGAGTCGCCGATTCCAGATCGATGCGCTCTTCCCCTGAGCCTGTCCCCCCCTGTCGTTCCCCTCGTGGAGGGCGGTGAAGAGGAGGAGGAGGAGGAGGTGGAGGAGGAGGAGGAGGAGGAGGACTAGCGGACGAAAAGCGGCACAACGGTCTGTTGTTGTACCGTTCTTCGCGCGCCTGAAGGGGGTACCACACCCTGGATTAAAAAGTTGTGATCGGCATTGCGGCAGGGAACAAACCCTGGGTCTTCGCCAATCGAAAAAAAACTCAACCTTCGACCTTCGATCGATCCTAACTCCCAGACAGAGTCGTGACCCGAACGAAGGAAAGGCGACGCAGGGGTGGACGAGACGCGCGGTTGTCAGGACAGCCCAAACGAAATCGCCACTCTTCGGTGGTGCGAAAAGCGGTCGGAAAATACCTTGCGAGGAATTCTCAGGCGATATCGCCGCTCTCAAGCGGTCTGAAGATGGATCAGATTTGTTTCTGCGGATGTCCCACGCAAAATCGCTTCTTTCAGATGCTGCGGCTCATTTTCAGATCGCCCTTGAAGGCGATCTGAATTTTTGTTGGCGGAAATCTCAGGCGGATTCGCATTTTCAGACGCTGACCGCATTTGGCCGTTATATTAGAAGGGGTGAGAGATGCATCTGAAATTCCCGACTCGGCCCCGGGTCCAACATTGTCCCAGGGCCCCGCGGCCTAACGGGAGGCCAACCGTGCCTTCCTCGATCCCCACGGTCTCCACTTTTTAATCCAGCGGGTTGACCGCCGCCAGCGCGGTGAGTCACGTCTTTTTTACTACATGTTTTGTCCACTTTCCACACTAGCGCACGCATCGGAACGCTGGAGACTGCCCACACCGAGCGTTTTTTGTTATGACCGCCGCCAGCGCGCTGAATCATGTCTCTTTTACTATATGTTTTGTCCACTCTCCACACTAGCGCACGCATCGGAACGCTGGAGACTGCCCACACCGAGCGTTTTTTGCTATGACCGCCGCCAGCGCGGTGAGTCACGTCTCTTTTACTACATGTTCTGTCCACGCTCCACACTAGCGCACGCAGCGGAACGCTGGTGACTGCCCACACCGAGCGTTTTTTGCTATGACCGCCGCCAGCGCGCTGAATCACGTCTCTTTTGCATGTCTTGTCCACGCTCCACTCTAGCGCACGCATCGGAAAGCTGGAGACTGCTTCACCGAGCTTTCTTTGTAACCACTCCCTGGATTAAAAAGTGGTAATCGGCACTGTGGCAGGGAACAACGTCTGGGTCTTCGCCAATCATAAAACGGTGTTCGACCTTCGATCGATCCGAACTCCCAGACAGAGTCGTGACCCGAACGGAGGAAGGGCGACGCAGGGGTGGACGAGACGCGCGGTTGTCAGGACAGCCCAAACGAAATCGCCACTCTTCGGTGGTGCGAAAAGCGGTCGGAAAATACCTTGCGAGGAATTCTCAGGCGATATCGCCGCTCTCAAGCGGTCTGAAGATGGATCAGATTTGTTTCTGCGGATGTCCCACGCAAAATCGCTTCTTTCAGATGCCGCGGCTCATTTTCAGATCGCCCTTGAAGGCGATCTGAATTTTTGTTGGCGGGAGTCTCAGGCGGATTCGCATTTTCAGACGCTGACCGCACTTGGCCGTTACAATATTAAAATGAGTGAGAGATGCATCTGAAATTCCCGACTCGGCCCCGGGTCCAACATTGTCCTGGGGCCCCGCGGCCTAACAGGAGGCCGACCGTGTCTTCCTCGGTCCCCACGGTCTCCACTTTTTAATCCAGCGGGTTGACCGCCTCCAGCGCGGTGAGTCACGTCTTTTTTGCTACATGTTTTGTCCACTTTTCACACTAGCGCACGCATCGGAACGCTGGAGACTGCCCACACCGAGCGTTTTTTGTTATGACCGCCGCCAGCGTGCTGAATCACGTCTCTGTTACTACATGTTCTGTCCACTCTCCACACTAGCGCACGCATCGGAACGCTGGAGACTGCCCACACCGAGCGTTTTTTGCTATGACCGCCGCCAGCGCGGTGAGTCACGTCTCTTTTACTACATGTTCTGTCCACGCTCCACACTAGCGCACGCAGCGGAACGTGGAGACTGCTTACACCGAGCGATTGTTGTAACAACCCCCTGGATTAAAAAGTGGTGATCGGCACTGTGGCAGGGAACAACCCCTGGGTCTTCGCCAATCGGAAAAAAACGGTTTTCGACCTTCGATCGATCCGAACTCCCAGACAGAGTCGTGACCCGAACGGAGGAAGGGCGACGCAGGGGTGGACGAGACGCGCGGTTGTCA